GTTTCTTAGGGCATTTTCAAACTATAGCACTGTGCCAAGTTCACACTGCTGTGCATATAACATGCATTGTTATCGCACAGCCATTGGGAGGTGCGTTAGGGTGCCATTGCAATCATTGGCAGTGCACAGTACTGGACACTAGGTGCGCTGTACAAGAACATGTGGTTAGCACAACACTATAGTGTTAACTAGCCCCACGCCTAAGGTTGTATTATACATGTAGTGATCCCACCACTACTTCCTGAAAATGCTAGTTGTCTAGCAGACAAACGGTCACACTGGTTTCAATACCTTGAGTTACTAAATTTGTAAGCAAATCAGCAAGGTCAGAAAGTCCTTATATGATTATTCCAAATCTGTGATTGCAAGTACTTAACCAGTTGACATCCGCGGTGTTAAACCCCCTTCCCATCCAGGCCATTTTTCAGTATTCAGCGCTGCGACAACAATTTACTTCTCTTATTTGCTCCCTTTTGGTATGTTAAGTATACCATTGGAAGCACTTGGTTACACCCGTTTGACAAGATTAACAGTTTTTTGTTTTACCTTATCAAATTCAGAGCTGTCCTTTTCACACTCAGTTATAGCAAAGTCACCCTAGCTCTTATGGACTACAAAGCGATTGGCCTTTATGTTGTGGAGATCTGAGAGTAGGGATTGTAGTTTCCCAAACACTGGGGCAGGGCTGACTGCCCAGACCAGGGCTGACTGCCCAGACCAGGGCTTAGGAGATGACTATTTCTGGCAAATCAAAGGGTTATTTTTCTGTATTTGCAGGGTTTTTAATAGGATAAAAAAGGGAAGTATGCATGCATGTATTGCAGATATGCACTGCTGAACACTGCTGCATTAGCGGGTTGCTGTCGCCAGACAGCATTTTTTTTCTGCTGGCGGGCACGCACGGGCAGAAAAGACCCGTCCAATGCGAACACCCGGTACCGGGTGTTTCACATATAGGCGATCAGCGGGTCCATAGCCCGCCGATTGCCTATATGTGCTCGTTCGCGGCACCCAACCCGAAACCACAAAAAGTGCAAAAAAATAAATCTAAAAAAATAAAATAAGTCACAAAAAAAGGGGAAAAAACCCCCCAAAATGTTTAACTCCCCCACCCCCACGTTTACGCGCCTATAAACGTAAATACGCGTCCCGTGCCCGAGCGCGCAAAAATTACAATTGACGTTACATATCGTCGCGAACGTCGCAGTGAGAGCAATCATTTTAGGGCCATCAATCACTGATAACACTAAACTGATGAGCGGTAACAGCTTTTAAAGCGTCGCCTATGGCCAATTTTGGGTATTATCGTTTGAGGTTTTGCGCGCGGAAGCAATTGTAAGGCTTGACATGTTTGGTGTCTTTTTACCCGACGTGACCCCGTCTTTTATATTTTACCAAAAAATTGGGTAATAATAAATGTTTTATCATTTAATATAGGGGAAACTTTTTTTTTTTTTTAAATTTCAGTGATTTTTCCTTTATAGTTAAAAAATAAAAACCCCCAGTGGTGAATAAATACCACCAAAAGAAAGCTCTATCTGTCCCCAAAAAAGGGTATAAAATTAATTTCAGTACAGCGCTGCATGACGGAATAAATGTCAGTCAAAGTACCGCAGCGCTGAATACTGAAAAATGGCCTGGATGGGAAGGGGGTTTAACACCGCGGATGTCAACTGGTTAAAGTGTATTTTTCCTTAACGGAAAGACCCTGAAATTTAAAGTTTAAAATGGAGCACGTTAATATAGGTTCCCTGGCTGCTGTGCAGGCACAACAGTGTGACCTAGGGTCCTCTGTGGCTCAAAGGCTTTCTACAACTTTTCTAGATTTGCGTAAAAGGGCAAACTACATCACTGCACAGAACAATCCTACCCTGTCTTCTGCCTTATTTGATTGATAGCCTTTAATAAAACAAGAGGCTGATAAAAGAAAATAGTACTAGGGAGAATTAGGGTGGGAATATAACAGTCTTATTACACGCCCACTTCATGACAAAAGTAGTAGTACAAGCATATGAAAAAGTAAAGTACACCCCATAGAAACTGTTAACTTTGTCAACATATTTGAGCAGGCACAGATTAAAAGTGCATGTAAACAATACCTACAGATAGAGAGGATATTCTTGAATAAAAACCAGAAAGAAATGTGCCTTTAAACTCATTTATTCAAACACAATTGAACAAGATGTAGTGGTGTACTCTGGAAAAAGTAAGCGCACCCTGGGTCTCATATGCTGGAATTGCTCCCTTTAGCATACATGGCTTCTTTAAGTGTTTTGTGTAACTGCCCACCACTTGATGACATTGATGAAGATTTTAGCCACTTCCATACAAAATACCTTTAGCTGCAAGATGTGTGGGTTTCCTCACATACTGCCAATTTAAAATACACCTACATCACATCAATGGGATTCAAATTAGGATTTTGACTAGGCCAGTCCACGTCTTCTTTTTGAGACACTCCTGGTGGATTTGCTAGTGTGCTTTGGATCATGACGTTTTTTTCAAAGATCCATTTCTGATGCAACATTTGGAAGATGGTCATTCTCGCACACACAGCTATGATACAGATAACTGCAAGCTGCTCAGGTCCGGAGAGTGCAAAACAACCTGAAAACATGCCATTTCCACCACCCAGGTATGAGGTCTTTGATTTATACCAAATAGGTCTACTATCACTATGGCCAAACTATTATTTTGGATTGATCAGTGTTTAACACAACATTCCATAAGGCCTGGTCCTCGCTTCTTTGTTTAATGGCAAACAGTAGTCGTGCTCTTTTTCTACAGCAAAGGATTCTACTGTCACACCTACCATGCAGGTTAAATCAGTGCAACCTTTTTGATTGTAGATTAATTCACTTTGACTACAACTGCTGCAAGAGATACCTGCACATTCCAGAATGGAATTTTGGGGGTTTTAGCATTAAGTGATCAGCTTATAGGCTGAATATGTTGGAACAGCCAGTCCTAAACCAAATAACAGACATTTGAAATCTACAACACTTGCACATTCTTTTATTTTCAAATTATCTAGGCTCTCATTGAATCCTTCCCAGACTTATTAGCATCCACAAACAGCTTTCTGAGAGCCTTCGAGCCCTTTTAATTTTGGCACGACAACACACATAGCTTTAGATATCGAGGAATTAAATAAGACCAGTTACGCCTGCTCACTCCCCAAGAAGGTTGTACTCATTGGCAACTAATCTGGAACGCTCAATTTGAATTTCATGGATTTAAAGCAGTGATAAAATGTAGGGATAGGCCTACTTTTTCCACATGACTAATCAGCATTTTTGAATTTGATTATGAGAATACACCATGTCAATTGTGTTATTTGCTCAAGTATATGACTTTTACCTGTTGGCACCGTTTGAATTATGTAATGTTTGCATGTTAACGCCCAACAATGTTTGCAAAAATGGGATGCACTTAATTTTACCATGATTGTAGTTCCTACTTTGAGGAAATGATTACCTTAGTTTCCTCAGACAGCAGCACTGCCTTGATCATCTTTCACTCTTGCCGAGAAGAGGTAAAAGGAATAGACTTCTGGAAGGTTGCACATAAAGTCAGAAGGGCACAGACCGTCAAACAACATTATTAGGGAAGGTCAGCAATAGCAGCCTCCATATTCCTATAACAGGCTTCCTATACATCCTCTCGAATAACTGCTCTGCTGCCCATTTTTACATTAGGTCTTAGCAGGGTTGCTCTAGAATATTTTGGGAGGATGGAGTGCTTATAGTACGGTTTGCCAGATCCAGAAAGGCAAAGGCAAGCTGCCTGTAAGCCAGCTTTGATAAAACAAAAAATTGTATGGAGACCAAAAAAAAAAAAAAAGAAAAAGGTCCATTGTAAATTGTAAAGCATGTGACCACTTATTGCATCTTTGTAAAGCTGGTGTTTGAGGTTGAGTTAAGGGAACATTGGTTAAGTAAATTATTGCACACTAAACATCAAAATGACAGAAAGCCAGGAAAAAGGATGTGACAAGGCGCTGCTAAGGAAAATCTTTAAACAAAGATTATTAAGGTAGGGCTGGACAAATGCAGGAACAGGATAGCCAATGTTCCCTAAAAAAAAAAAAAAATACAGCTAGCACCCAACTTTTGAGTTTCTCTAGTTCTCAAGGGAGCCATCTACTAAACAAAATTCCTGCTGGTTCCCTTATTCCATAATTAATCTGTCCACCCCTGTATTAAGGATGTATCAGTCTCCAGGCCACCCTCAAAGTATCTAAAACCAAAACCTTTTTTTTTACGCTTTGGATAGAGGATTAACCGTCAGGAATTTTTTCAAGTCTAGGTTCCAACTGAGGAGGGTAACCCTCTTGACTTGTCCAAGTAACCAATGACTCTGGGATTGAAATGGTATAATTAAAATATAAAATAAACACACACCACTACAAACCTTTGAGTTGTCACCTCAGTGAAGTGCTTCATTGAAAACATACAATAAAAGAAAAACTAAGGATTTTATTTTACTCACTTTGGATAGGTTTCCTTCCTTTTTTTATACTACATGGTTTTAACCTTCTCCTTGGCATTTGTGTGCATTTTGCCAGCATTATGATTAGCACTAGATAAATCGATAACACCACATTCTAGCATTAGCAACTAAGGATAAAATTGCTAGCAGGGCAATTACATTTTAAGTTCAGTTTATGTATTCAAAAGAAAGCAACAGTTTAACAGCAAAATTGAATGCTCAAATCAACTTAAGATGAAAGCATACAGCAATTGCATTTTCTCACAGATTTAAGGAAGGGCGCAGACATTCAAAAAATAAATGCACCCTTCAGAGGAAAAAAATAAAAGAATGGATCAGGAAGCAGATCACAGTGATATTAAGACAGACAGGTAGCTTATTTATGATTTAAGCAAAAGACCAAAGCTTACACAAAAGGCGAGACTTGAGACAAACCGATATCAGCAATGTACAGATATGGAATGGTTTATCCCAAAATAGTTTATACTAGAAAAAAAAAATGTAACAGCTGCTTTATATACGAAAACAGGACAGTATAAAACCCAAGAGCCGAGTGGCTACTGCACATGAAAGTGCTGGTGCTTTTTCCATTCTAATCAATAAAAGATTTTAAACTGCCTTAAAAAAAAAAAACCCCATTGGCTCCTACAATGGTCTGACTGGCTCTTGAGATCTTCCTCGGGGCATAGTCTGATCCTCATCTTGTGTATGGCATGAACATGTACAGATATACAATGTAATTTGATAATCAAGCACATGCCATTAGCAATTGTTACTTAACCATAAATTAATTGATCCAACCCTAGTTCAGATTATAAATGGATATTTGTTTAACCCCTTCGTGACTGACGACGTACAGTGTACGTCGCCAGCATCGGGGCTGTTTAAACAGACTCCCGGCGACTTTTGCCACATGGGTGCAAAAATTGAAAAAAGGGGCTCAGTCATGAAGGGGTTAATGGTAGTTTTGTAAAGCACCGGTTTACCACGGAAGAGCGCAGTTAGAGACATGGGTAAGAACTCATTTTGAAAAAGAGGACAAATTAAAAAAGGAAACCTGTTAGATACCCAATTTCTTAAAAATGGCATCAGAAGAAAAATCAGTTTTGTTCTCGTATCAAGTCTTGGCTAATTTTTTATTTGGAATTCACTTGTGGAAAGACTACCCGTTTCCAGCCAACATACAGTGTCAGAGACATCCTGTGACTCCTAACTTCCTCACTCACAAACAGCATATTAGAAATTGCCAGTAATGTGAAGAAAATATTTTAGAACACCAGACTATAAAAAAAATAAAAAAAAAAGGTATAAATGTTAATAAAAAATAAATCAGACAGTTATGGTATATCTTTATCTCATGTTTTAAGCAGATATCAGGCATCAGGGAGGCAAATCAACACACAGCTGCTGGTGTGTGATGCCAGGCACAATGCTGATGCACCAATCCAGATGAATCACGCGGTTTACTTTGTTAGATCTGTCACAAGTGACATTGTATGGGCACAGAACGGTGGTGTGAGCCGAGCCAATTTAAAACCAGGCAAATTGCCTTGTTTAGTGTTAGGGCTGCATTGGAAAAAGTGGCCACAGCAGCACCAAGGCATCTGATATGAATCAACCCTTAAGGTGCAGGCTCCAGGGCTTTATTCCTGATCCTGACTTCACAACCTAGCACATTATTGCTACAAAGTCCTTATATCTTTAAATCTAGCCAAGTTGTTAAGGTTTAATAAGGGGTGAACAAAGTCACACCCAAAATACTTCCTTCAAGCTATGCCTTTAAATCATATATATGACCATGAGCAAACTATAGATTTAAAACTGCAATGACAATACTGCTCTGTGAAAAAGAAATGGGTAAGGAATCATAACCTAAATTCCAATATCCATAACCCAGTTACGGAAATGTACAGAACAAGCAAAAATACATACATCTTAAAAAATAATAATTTAATAAAAGAAAAAAAAGAAATGAAAATGCAGGGTTGTGTAGACTAGCTTACAGATTATGAAGACCAACAAAAATAATAGTAATATGACATTTGAAGGCATGTTTGATAGTGGTAATCAAATATTAAAAACAGACTAAGGTGTAAAGTATGCCCCTACAAAGCGATTTAAACTTGCAAATTTAAATCAAAAACATTTCACATAACACATATTTCAAACAATCTTATCATCTGATTTGGCAACAGCTCCACATAATCTCATTTCGTAAAAACTAACAATACTATGATGCCTTGTTTAAAGTGTCACTAAACCTTCCTTAAAATGCAATGTTTCATTTCATTACACAAGCATTTAATACTTATATTTCACCAAATCACCAACTTCACTCCCACAAAAAGAGACTATTTCAGTTTTCAGCAATGTGTGTACAATCGCATGAACTGCTGAAGTTAGACTACATCGTTCAATTTAACTGGCGCCAGCTTACAGCAATGTGCATGTGTACCCACGAATACAAATTTGCAAAGTTAGCAACTCCTAAAAATCGTGAAGGACCAGCAAAACAAATAAAACATAAAAATATTTTGGAGTTTCCACTGGGAACACACCAAGGAGGTTACACATGCCTCGAGGTCATGTAGGACGAGCATAGCTACCTTAAAATGAAAGTGGGAACAAAGAAAGGACTTCTATAATGGATTTATATGGTGCCAACAGTCTGCACAGCACTTTACAAAATAAAAGGAATAGGGGGTAAGGAGTTATTTTTTATATACATATACACACACACACTGAATTGTGGGTAATGTATATGGCCCTGGAGGATATTTGAAACACTTTAGTAATTTTTTTAATTTTGGTTTAGTGACACGTAAATATAAAAAACAAAAATAAATCAAAGCACACTCATTAAAAGCTTAAAAAAAACCATACAATCTTGAAATTTGTGCTAGCTATACCACAAGAGCTTACAGTGTCATTCCAAGTAAGACTAAATAGTTAGAATTTCTTATTTATGGTTTTACATGCCAAAGTATTTGTGACTTAACACAGTCTTGTGATTGGCACACCTCCATCCAGATGATCTTTGTTAGTTCCAGGTTCAGCTTTGCTGCTTTCCTGATCACACCTCTGCTTCCTGGAAAGAGGTGGTCATGCCGATTTATTGCATAATGAGCATGCGGGAGGTAAAACCCAGAAAATTAAATATGGGTCACCTACCTGACTGAGCTATGTAGCAGGGATAAGTAAATAGGAAGCCTGGCGAAATACTAGATACATAACATTTTATACACCCACATACACAATAGATTAAAGTAGAACTCCAGACAAAATGTATCTAAAGTCAAAACTTAGTTTGCGATACAGCAATGCAGAGTTACAGCCTTTGTCAAGTTATTGACATTTGTGTCCCTGCTAGGTGACCGTTCTAACTAGGAATGAAAGTAAAGGAAAATTCAGGCAGGGGAAGCATCCAATCAGGACACTTGTTCCAGGGATAAACACTCTTCCCCTCACACTTTTGCAGTGATTTCTTCTCACTTTCAGTTCTATCTATAGGAAATGAAATTAAAGGAAAGCTCCTCGACAGGAAAGTTTTGTCTTTAGATAAACATTACGTAATGCTCCTGGAAAGTTTCTAAGACAAAGAAATTAAATAAGGAATAATCCAGGAATGATTAAGAAGTTCTATTTAGGCGATTGCCCTTTTTGTTCATTTTCACACAACACCCACAGCGGAGCGCTTCACATCTTAATTAGCAGCTATGAAGTAAATATAAAAGACTGATTTCAGTGTAGCCACTCAGCATACTTGGTTTTGAGGTTCTTTTTCAGAGTCTTCTTCTGGAGGGACAGGCTTTGATTCACCGTTCTTCTTGACTTCTGGGGATAGCACTGTGACACACTTAGAAGTTTCTTCGTCATCATCATCATCACCATCTTCATGCTCCTCAGGATCCTTTACTTCATCACTACCATCTTGGTCACTTAAATCTTGAGACTCCAGCTCAAATTCCTTTTTTGAGAAAGGCAAACAATGTGAATCTCATATGTTCCGAGAAAACCTTGCTTACCCAATAACTGCAAGCGGGTCGGAATTTGTTTGCCAACTTCTAACAAATTTGTGGAACTATTATCTGGTGCTGTTCATGCTGGTCCCATTGTTAGGCATGTTCTTCACATTGTATCTTCTAAAAAATACCCAATTCATCTTTTTTTTGCACTTTTCAGCCTTATAATTAAACCTTTATAAAAAGGTAAACAAAAACCCTTCCCCCATATTATCTCTATGTTCCAGGCTGTTCTGACCATAAAATGCTAGACATTTAGACAACCTATTCCCAAAAGACTCTGGAAAGAGGTTAAAATGAAATTTAAAAAAAAAAAAAAATGTCAAAGATTGGGGTGAACGAGAGAAAAAAAAAAAAAATCACTCAATTCCACAACGTGAAGGAACAAAATCATCTCTGCTTTCTATTGTATCCCAACAGACAGAACCTGCAGCTGTCAGAATACATGAACGGTAACCTCAGCTGACTAGCTGTAGTCACTGTTCCACTGACATATGTCACTGAAGTGCCAGCCGGAGAACCCATGGCTGAAATTCAAATGGTGTGTTGCCAGCTTTAGAATGGAAACTCCAGCTGGACTACACTGCCACACAGGAAGGTTCTTATGTTACAGAAAAGTGGAACCTCCTGTAAATGTCTGCAGTAGATTTGAAGCCAAACTAAAATCTTTTTTTCTGACAGTCCTGATGGGGTAGAAAAGGGACACTTTAAAACTAGATCTTAATAGAGCTCTGCTTAAACAATGGGGGTATACTCATAAAGCAGTAACTGTTACTTTCTCCAAACATTGACCAGAAGGGAATTAGGGATGCACCGATACCAAGTATTTGAGCAAGTACTCACACTTGCCCAAATATTGGAATATCCAGTATCAGGAAACTGGGAGCAGAGTCATTACTCAACCCCTAGGCTTCCCAATTGGTCAGAAAGCTGGCTCCATGGCTGGAGAATGGAGACGGCTTCATAGCTAATCAGGAAGCCAGGCGGTGAATCATTCCACTCTGCCCGGCTTCCTTCATGGGACCTATATCTGTGCATCCCTAAAGTGAATCAATCTCGGTCAATTCAAACATATGCCAGGAAAATTCACCAGCAGTGAATCTTTGGTTAGCATCAAATTCACTAGTTTATAAATATACCAGAAACCATTTATATAGGATTATGGGAGTCAGGTAAACTTAAGATGGGGACTTTTAGACAAAAGGGTTCGTAATCTGTGCTTCATACTTCTATTCCAGTATCGTACATACTACTCCCACTAACCCCTAGAAAATGCATTAAAACATGGTAGCTACTGGTAGACTATAAACTACTATGAAATTAACTAGTACCATGCCATCTCCATTTATCACCCTAGAACCTGCTGAAGATCATGGATGGTATGCATGCAGAAAGGCCTGGGAATAGCAACAAAGCAAAACAATAAAATTCGGAGATGACTGGCAACGCCTACAACACAACGCGAAAATTTGTTTGAACAGTGAACTGTAAAAGTCATTGCATTCACAAGTGCTGTCACGAAATCATTACAAACTGCAATAATACACACCACCCAATCAGAGTTGGTGTGTGAATTGCAATCATATCTAAACAGAGGAGCCAAAACCTCAGGATTTAGGAAACCTCACGTGAAAAAATAAACAAACTCATGCATGCAAGCCCTTGATTTTCATGCCTGGAATAGCACCACAACACCCCCTCCTGCCCCAGAAAGCAGGGAGGCTTAAAAAGGAGAACTATGAGGTGAGTGCTTTTCACTCACCTCATAGTTCTAGCCGACCTGTGACAATGAGACTGTCACAGGTCGGCTCAGTAGATCGGGAAGTGAGCGAACACATACCGGTGTTCGCTCACCTCTCGATCCTGTCACGGCCCTCTGCCGTGACAGGGGAGGGACTGGATTCCCCCCGCTTCGATCTGCCAGCGCTGACTGGCAGATTGGACGGGGGAGGGTACAGCTGGCTCTGCCTCTAGATAGGCAGAGCCAGCTGTCACTCACGCAGCTGGGCGGATCCAGACAAATTGTCGGGATCCGCTTCAGCTGCGGTGTGTCAGTATACCGCGAGCAGTAGCTCACGGAATACTGTGGCATCTCAGTATACCGCGAGCTGTAGCTCGCAGTATACTGAGCTTAGGGTGACGGGAGGATGCTAGTTTGCGTCCTCCCGTTAACCTGAGAACTATGAGGAAAAGCCTTAACCCCATAGTTCTCCTTTAATTATGTGATCCAGTGCATTCCAGGTTGCAATATGAACAAGTCCTAAGTCCCAATGGTTTTCTATATGCAGTATGGATGAAACCGAGTCATCTGAAATCTGACTATGTCAGAACAGCAAACATACATGCCATTACAAGGTCACAACAGGACAAAACTAATTATATCCACTGTTAGTACTGAATGGCTTCAGCTTGTTCAAGAGCAGCATGTACAGCGAGCTTTAGTGAAGTTTTCAGCAAAATTTGGACAGAATTGGAAAAGCTTTTGGCCAATTCCAAACTGCTTTGTTGAAGCCCATGAAGCTGAACTTCAGGCAGAAATCTTATGACAATGTGTAAAGGAATTCAGAACAATTTCTTTTTGTTTTCATATATAAATTATCCAGGCACTGACAAAGCTATGCTCGAGTTACTCTACTCCACTATTTCCAGGGCCATCAGTTTTGTAATAACCCCTCATTAGTTTTTCATAGAACATCAATGTAATTACATCGCTCACTCACTATTGTGGAAGCACCCAGGAGTCATTGCATCATTTGACTGACAGGTTTAGACAGACAATGGCTGGCAACCTCATGTTAGGCAAAAAATCCAACACTAATGCCCATTGACAACTACAATTAACATGGCATGATGGGAATTGTAGTTTGTGTCAAAGCCACACAGTGGGCAGAAGGGACATCACCATTAGCTTGATTCTACCTCTGGTTGTTCATTAATAGTTGTGATATATGATGGCACAACAGGTTATTGACAAGGTATGTTTAACTACAGAATTACTGGCCAGATCACCAGAAGAAAATAAAAAAGGCAAAAAGCTAAAAGAAAACTAATGCAGCCACCACATTGAAGGATTAGTATGCTGCAATGTATTACATTTTTTACTTGGGGTTTAAATATGCTTTAATGAAGCCTGATAGTTTGATTGGCAGGCTTCCCATTATGATATATGCTTAAACTGCCCAAACTGGAGCTGAACTGTACTTCAATGTCCCCATATCTTAAAAACACACACACAAAAATGTTTAGTAATGAATCTACAAAACACATGCTTCTAGATAATTGCCGGCTTTGCGTATCTTATTTCTCTTTTCTTCCCCAGTCTTCTGACAGTGGCCATGTTTACTAAGGGCAGATTACTAGCTCTCCTATTACCTCCTGGATTTCTTCACGTGACTAGGACATGTGACCATGCACATCATCTCAGGGGAGGAAAATGCCTTTCCCGGAAATCTCATGAGATTACAGATGAGATTTCCCAGCAGTGCTCTGCTGCTGACAAGGCAATCCCAGTGTGCATTGCATTGGCAAAGTGAAGTCATTTTGCCCTTTCAAAGCAGGAAGTGAATGCTCTGCAAGTGTGTAAGTATTTCAAAATCACAGCATTTTAGACCGAACATGTCTTATCATTAATCATCATACATCTGGTAGAAAGTGTAAAGGTCCACTATAAACAAAACCACTGAATGCGCCATAAATGCTTTGTAGAAGCTATCTGTACACACCGCTCTTATACAAAGCTGAAGACCATGAAAACAAGGCCTAAATGTAGTGATCATGCTATAGGCGGTCCTCTATGCCACAATACCAACACAGAATGGGCCACAAACCAGGCTTTCAACCAACTTATGGAAAAAAATCATAGGGTTGGTATATAATTCTGGCATCAATGCACATCTCTGCAAAGCTTTATTTCATTTGGTTTTCAAAGTGGTATAAGCTTGTGCTTATTATTTGAAAACACGTAGATCCCTTAGGTCTCTTCCCTAAAATCAGAAACATTGGCCGATCTACTTCACTGGAAGCCATAGAACAATGAGTAGTTTCTGCTAACTAGTTTCCAGTAAAACATGAAGTTTCATATCTGTCTCAACACTAAGAAAACAGAAAAAAGTTTAACATTGATTAGCCAACCTTCAAACTTGTAATATTATACAAATGCTTTGTACTGTTCAAAGTCAAAATAAATTACTGCCATTATTTGATATTACTTCAAAATAAATGTACAATTCATTTTTCCATTACAGTTTTGTATCATTTTACCTTAACGATATCTTCTTCCATAGAAGCTTCACACCCAGATTCATCGGCCTCTTGTTTCTTGCCTGAAATTTGAGCACAAAACATTACCCTTTAAGAAAGCTGGAATTAGAGTTGTACTAAGCCTTCAACTATTATTTAATGTTTCCCTCTAGATCAAGTAATTGGCAACACTTTCAATGTTTTGGGGTTTCATTTCCCCCCTTGTCAAGCTAAAAGCTGGTGAGCTGGGCAGTGTTCATGCTCATACACAAAAGCTATACTTGATCTGTCAAAGAGGATCCTATAAAAAGCAGGGGTAGGCAAACTCCTAGCCATCCAGCTGTGGTGTAACTACAAATCTCATTAGGCATTGCAAAACTGACAGCCACGATTCCCAGAGGCAGATGCATGACCGCTCCAAGCTCACTCCCATGATTAACTACAATTGCATGTTTAGTTTACTAATTTGTATTGAAGTGATAGCCCATCACAGGAGTGAGCTTGGATTGGTTTGGTGACTACTTTACAACACACACAGGGACTATAGGTAACAAAAGTATCCACCCTCCAGAAGGAAGGACCATGTCAGCACCAATTCAGAGATGATTTGAGAATCTACAGCCGAGTGATACACAAATAAGATACATTTTTGTTACGAGTTAAAAAGGTACCTGGATGCATTTTTAAGATTTAACCTCTGAGTTTAGTGTCACTTTAAAAAGGCCACAGAAGTCCTGACCTCGCACCTCACACTGTAGACAAGGGGCTTCCAATTGACTATCATCTGAGATTTAAACTTCCCAAAAATGCACTGCCATTAAATCACCATCTGCTTGTTTTCCTAATAACTCAACAGTTTATAGAATTCTGAGGACCCTGAGATCAATGTATTCACATATATAGTTGTCCTCAAAGTTGGCAAACCCTGGCAGACTTTTATTTAAGGAAAATGATCCATATGAAGCCATTTATCATCATCACAAAGTTGTTTGGCTCTGTTTTAAATCATAATAAACAGAAAATCAGCCAAAATGTCCCTGATTAAAACTTTACCTATCCTGGAATATTTGGCCTTGTGTGACCACAAGGTGACACACAGGTTAAAATGGCAATTAAAGGTTAATTTCCCACATCTGGGTCTTTTTAAACTGCAATTAGTATCTATGTATAAATAGGCAATGAGTTTGTCAGCTCTCACGTGGATGTACTGAGCAGGCTAGATACTGAGCCAAGCGGAGCAGAAAAGAACTGTCAAAAGTCCTGCGTAACAAGGTAATGGAACTTTATAAAGATGGAAAAGGATATACAAAGATATCCAAAGCCTTGAAAATGGCAGTCAGTACTGTTCAATCACTTAAGAAATGGAACATTTGGGGATCTCTTGATACCAAGCCAAGGTCTGGTAGACCAAGAAAGATTGCAGCCATAACTGCCAGAAGAATTGTTCGGGATACCAAGAAAAGCCCACAGGTAGCCTCAGGAGAAATACAGGCTGCTCTGAAAAAAGATGGTGTGGTTGTTTCAACAAGGAACACAATACAACGATACTTGCACAAAAAATAGCTGCATGATCAAGTTACCAGAGAGAAGCCTTTACTGCACCAATGCCACGAAAAAGCCCGGTTACAATATGGCCAACAACACCTTGACACGCCTCACAGCTTCTGGCAAACTAATTGGAATGACAATACCAAAATAGAGCTTTATTGTAACAACCATAAGCGCTACGTTTGGAGAGGAGTCAACAAGGCCTATAGAGACAAGAATACCATCCCCACTGTGAAGCATGGTGGTGGCTCATTGATGTTCTGGGGGGGGGGGGGTTGCGGTACAAAGGCACAGGGAATCTTGTGAAAATTGATGGCAAGATGAATGCAGCATGTTACCAGAAAATACTGGCAGACAATCTGCATTCTTCTGTATGAAAGCTGTGCCTGAGACGCTTCTGGACTTTCCAGCATGATAATCACCCTGAGCACAAGGCCAAGTTAACCCTCCAGCGGTTACAGCACAAAAAGGTGAAGGTTCAGTGGCGGCCATCACAGTCTCATGACCTCGGTATCATCGAGCCACTCTGGGGAGACTTCAAACATGCGGTTTATGCCACACAAAGACTTTGCATTACCTAGAAGAATTTTGCCAAGACAGCTATACCACCTGCAAGAATTCGGGGCCTCTCATACAACTATTACAAAAGACTGCACACCGTCATAAATGCTAAAGGGGGCAATATCATTTCATTTTTTTTATTTGTTACCAAGTTTTGTTTTATGATTGTGCCATTCTGTCATGACCTACAGATGAATATGAATTCCATAAGAAATAAAAGAAATGTGTTTTGCCTGCTCACTCATGTTTTCTTTAAATATGGTGCATATATTACCAATTCTCCAAGAGTATGCAAACTTTTGAGTACAACTGTATATTACAGCACTTTTTCCATCACCCTCTATTAGTTCTTCTCTAAAGATTTAAAGCCGTTTTACTCGGGCATTCCGATCAGGTCTGACCATCAGTTCTTGGCTCTGATCAGAAGCCCTGCGTTGGTGAAAGGGAATTTGGACCTAAATGGATGTGCACCTGGAAAATCAAACAGAATAGAGTTCTGATTTGGCAGACATGAGCTTTGAGGGCCTGTTCACATGACATCCGTTTTCTGTGCTGACCTGATCCGCACGCTCCTGCACTAAAAATGCATCCCAATGTATCCCTATGTGTTTTATGGGCTACAGTTCTCACGTGTTCAGGTTACGACAGAAAAATACTGCATGTCACATTTTGTACAGTCAGGAAATGGTCCGGAAAAAACACGTCAAAAACGCACTGCAGCCAAAATACTGACAGCACCACTCGAGATAATTTTACTGGAACATATCAAAAACGCGGCAAAACACATAGCACTGCGTCTGCTGATCTGGACCTGAAACTCATGTGAACAGGCCCTGAGAGCTACTGGTAGATCACAATCTACCTAATGGGAACCCCTGGTATAGAACTTCTGCACCTGAAACTTATAGACTGGATAATTACTAGTAACAGCTATCACTCAATATCAAACCCATTCCTGTACACCGCTGTAGGGAACTAGAACACTGAATTTCTAAAAGCTGCATTTGATTTAGATACAGCCAGACTTAAGAGGTCACCATCATATGAAACCAAAAAGATTTTTAATAGGAGGGGCTTACAATAATTCTACAGCATCAGAGCAGGGTTCCATGGCATGGGCAGTGGGAACGTTCTGGGGGGGTTTTTAGGTTTCACTTATTTGGGTATACACTGTATAGCCACAGGGTCAATTTAAACACAAGCAGAAAAAAAACCCTTATGGACAGCTATGTGGGGGACACTAACAAAGCGTATTCAAATTTACCATCGTGTTAAATTTACTGAAAAATATTTTACAATAAAAAGGCCTTGGCATACTTCCAGGTTCATTGGGGTTTTTCTCTTGTGCTATAACCAGACTGTTCAACTACACAAAATATTTTTTTTTAAAAAGGTAGTTTTTAGATTCATCTAATATACTTTAACAAATATGTTTTAATGTGTTGCTAGTCTCAGTGTAAGGCGACCTAAAAAAATATATTTAGAGCATCTTAACACCACTGAAAAATCTACAAGGAATGCATTTCAGATTTTTAAAGAAAAATAAAAAATATTATATTATCCATCTCTATGCACCGTGACATTAGTTCAGTTGTCTGTGACTAGAGAAGAAGCTTTGAAATAAATAATATACCAGTGCTAAAAATATGACCAAAGTGCAGGCAATCCTCCAACTAATGCACAAAGGGACTTCCTAGACCCAAGCAGCACACTATACACAAGACCTAGACATTTGCTTGGTTTGCTCGCTGCGCAGTAACAGAACACTTAAAAGTGAAAGTCCTTATGAGCCAGTAAGGATCTAGCGCTGGACTTCAACCCTGGGCACAAATTTACTTAACCCTTGTTGTGGGCACACCTCTGCACTGCAAGGGACAGGTGGTTGTTTTAGTCCAACGGTGAAAGATATAGTCATATGAACCTCAGAGCCGGATGACTGTTGGAGGTCTCCACCGGCCTCTCTCCTCCTCCGCTCCAGCGGTCTAAGGTCCTGTAAGCCATTACATCCTATACAATGAGTAGGACATGAGAATGCCAAGGGACATTTCATCACTGAAGCAGAGACGGAGTCAGGCTACAAGGACCAGTCAGCTGTCGCTCTGTGACAGTGCTCAGAGTCCAGTTTTATTCTGTCAAAGTGCCATTTCTGCAGCCAAACTGGCATAGCAACTACTTTATATTTGTTGTTTCTCATTCACATGACATAAGTGTTTTGTAATTCCTGCTTGCACAATAAATGCCGTCCTTATCCGCATTGAGCTTAGCTCCCGTCACTTGGAAAATCTAGAGAGAAGCTTGTAAAGGCCTGCAACACAGACATCTAAAAAGGCAAGAGGCTTTAACATTCTTTTTAGGTATGCTGTGTGAATAGGAACATATAATGGGGGTTTCCCAAATTTGAATGTTACACTGGAAATAAAACCTTTACAGCAGCTAAGGGAAGAATTTATGACAAGCTGTAACCTTGTAATAAATCTCTGCCAAGATCTGTCTTACTGCTCCTTGCTAGCTACTGCCTTAACGTCATTGAATATCTCCAGATATGCTCTGCCTGAGGGATTCTTGTGACTGAGGCTCTAGAGGTGGGAGCATATGCAAAACCAGATCCCCACTCAAATGAGAAAATTGTAGGGGAAAATTGTAGGGGAGAGAGATCCGAGACAGCGCACTGCACCGTCCTTACCTTTAGATGGGATATTGTGTAAACTTTTTCTGAAGCTGGTAACATGACTGTGGAACATATTTTAATGCTGCATTTTGACGTTTGATGTATGCTTTGGTTTCTCTAATTCTTAACTATGAAAGAATTTGAAAAACGGGTGTGCAGGTTCCCCTTAAGCTGTGAAACAAGCAATTTGTCCCAAGCATGCTCAGTAATAAATGACCAGTGTAGCAATAATCCCTGGTTTCTTCATACATAGATTAATATGGAAGTTATATTCAGCACATGCACAGTGGTACTGCTATTTTGTAATATCACAAAGATGGGGACGAGATTACAGATACGTGCTGTAATGGTAGAACACTATCACACATGTGCAAGATCTTGACTTCATATTTATGACATTATAATAAAGTGGTAATACCACCACTCCAACTCTGCCCTGAGCACTACAGATAACACCCATCCTCCTCACCAACCCAAAACTAAACAATGCTTCTGGCCCCCAACCCTAACACTTTTCACACTTATATGCCCCATCACACCTGCACCCAACTACCCTGCTGTCACCCTCCACATCTAACTGATCCTTCTGCTCTACATATATATTCACTTTGAGCATTGTGCTACATAACAGGCACACTAATGTGATATAGTTTGAATAAGCAGAATTGAGTTATTTGAGGTAAATATATAGGGGGACTGCAAATGATGTAAAGGTTGCATCTACAAAAATTACAGGAAAACATTCTCAAAATTTGTTTCACCATTTACAGTCTGTTATCAGGGGTGAGATGCCAGAGATGCATGCCCATGGCAGCGAAAGGTTAAAACAAAGAAATGACCATATGAAATTCTAAAATACTCCGCTTATTCTCACAACTCAAAACTGAGAAAAGACCATGTAACAGAACAAAAAACAGAAGACTGAAAAGACTGCTACACACCTTTGTTCTTCATGAGCTTTTTCGAAGGAGTATCTGCTGAAGAACTAATTTCAATATTATCAGGATCACCACCTTCTTCTTCAATTGCCTAGAACGAAAAAAGTGAGCAACATATCAAATTAAGACAAAGAAAAAAATAACACAACATTAAACCTGTTATTTTGCCACACTAAGTGCAAGTTGTTACACACAAAAAAAAACGCGATTAAAAAAAACACAACGCAAAAATACTATTGTGACCAGCAGCTGCTTTAGACATGTTACAGAAGCTCTTCCAACACACACGAATGAGATTAATCTACGGGGATGTAACATAAAGCCTGCTAATGTCAAACCAATGAATCTGTCAAAGGCAACAACTCACCATTGACAGAATCTCCAAGACTCCACTCACGTTCTCTGAAATAGTTTCAGGATAGGGACTGACATTCTGGCAGAATTTTGGCTTATGCCACGCTGCTACCTAGACACTGCAGGTCTTCAAAGTGTCAGATGGGTTGAATGCCTGCGGTGGTCTACAACAGGCAGTGGTCCCCCTCTTCCCACTTACAGGAATATCCCATAAAAAGATATGCACCAGCAGGAGGTACCACATGGTGCAGCAGGTATGCAGATATTACATAGTTACATAGTATTTTGGGTTCCATACACTGTACGAGAAATCGTACAGTGTATGGAAGGCGTGCAACCGTTTCTACTGTACGGTCGCACGTCTTCCATCGAACAAGCAGGCTGGAAAACCCACCGGGAATCGTACGATTCTGAAGATCTGAAAATCATTTTAAAAAAAAGATGGACACAAACTACACATTGATTAAAGTATCTTTCCTTAGTGTGTTTCCTCTATAACAGCCAAATCGGAATAACACCTATTTTATATGTGTTACATGTTCCCATTCACATAGCATAAACTAAAATTGTTTTTACAAAATATGCTTCTTGCAGTTTAAATTTATTTTAATTGGGTTAGGGTTTTAAGGGTTACATTTCTTCTCGCTTCTCTTTCTTTGAAATGTTAGGAGGGGCAGTGAAGGGTGAGGAGGCTTGTCCATTGTATGTAAAGGTGCCCATACATTGTACGATTCTCGTACGAGAATCGCGGGAAAACCCGCGATCGTACGAGAAATCGTACAGTGTATGGAAGGCGTGCGACCGTTTCTACTGTACGGTCGCACGTCTTCCATCGAACAAGCAGGCTGGAAAACCCGCCGGGAATCGTACGATTCTCGGCGAGTGAGTTGCCTGCTTGTTCGACAACTGACGAACGGGTCGGTGTGCGCACGCGCACACTGCCCGTTTGCCGTCCTTGCAAGCCCGCCCCTCATTACAGTCATCGCAAGTACGATCTGCCTGTCCAAGATGGGCAGATCGTACGTTTTTTTAAAGTACTTTACAACCATCGCAAGACTAAGGTCTTGCGATGGTTGTAAAGTGTATGGCCACCTTTAATTAAGCTTATCAGATAAACACAGTCCTCAGATTTCAGTCCCAAGTCTTTCTAGAAGGACAGATAACTGTGAAGGGGCTGAGGAAAACAGTGATCAGCCATCGTGGCGGCTCTAACAAAACATCTAAGAAAAAAAAGTAAGAATTTTTTTATGTCATTTTTAGTTATGCTGTGTGAATAGGAACACAAACATACAAGGGGCTTTCTCAAATTTGACTGCAAAAATGGAAACACACTTGAAGTTTTAGATGGAAGGGCTAGAGCCTCTGTCAGGTTTTACAGCTTTGGCAACTGTTGGGGAGAATTCCAGGCACTTCCACTTCTAGTGACAACATTATGAATAGAACAGAAATGTCAGGAGTACAGAGGAGTAAATAAAAGTAATTCACTGGCACACACTTGAAGGGTTTTTTTTAAAGTATTGACATAATTATTCAATACCCAATGTCACATGCCGTCATACAGCACTGTATGACAGCATGTGACATTGGGTATTGAATAAATTAATACTTTTAAAAAAACCTTCAAGTGTGTGCCAGTGAATTACTTTTATTTACTATTAGTGTTTTGCAAGGCGCCATCCGTGTGGTCACCTGGGCACCACATATACCTTGTGGTTTTGAGACCGTGGCAGTGCAAATGGGATTTGGACTTGTTGAGAGGACAGAGGAGATCCAACAATGAAAGAGAAAGTGATACAATCATTTTCCTTGGCAGATTAGGACAAGGTACAAACTCTGCTAGTTGGTCAGGGTTTGGTCACGGCAGGTATGTTGATCTGCATAAAATGAAACAAAAACAATAGTTTTCTATTGTTTACACATAATGAGCTGAGGGGTGTTTGTGCGCTAGATAGAACTGCAGCAATTTCATGCACGGCACCGCACTGGGGTGTATAGGGTTAAATGAAAGGTCATTAAAGGACATTTTGATAGTTAATATTATAACAAGGAGTCACACAAAGCAGAACGCCTTCGGTGTGAATGAGTCCTTATGGTTGGTGTCATGTTCTTCCCCATCTTGTGTCACTGGGACAGAAATAAACCTTATAACTCTTCATTACACAAGAGCTGATACAAGTTTTGTCCCGAGTTCCCCGGTTTGAGGACACGGGAACACAGGACGTAGTACACGTTCACCAATCACCCCACCCACCCCGCACGGTGTATGAAGCTCCCTGTGAGATCGGCATGTCTGGTACATAACATTACATTCCCGCAGATTACAGCGCGAAGGGGGAAGCGGCTGGGCGGTAACGAGGCCTCCCTCCTCAAAACGTCCGGGGAGCCCCTCCCACCGGCACCAACCTGCTTGAGCCGGGCCACCAGCACGTTCTTCACCCCGGTCACGTCCAAGTTCCTAAGTTTCAGCTCGGACTTCAGGTCGATGACGCGGAGCTCGGACACTTTCTTCTTCTCGGTTGGGCCGCTGGATGAAGCCATTTTAGTCGGCTCGATCCGGGTACCAAAATGTCGCCGTAGCACGTGACACGGAGCTTTCGCACGGCAAGCCCCGGAAGTCGTGGTCACGTGGGGCCTGCCTCTATAAAATATATCACACAAGCATACAATGGTGGCCCCGCCCCCTCCCGCCAGCCAACTACAAACCATCGACCAACTCTGGGATCGGTGCATCCCACTGTACACAGAGCAGCAGCAGCAACGAGGAGAACAAAGCAAGAGGGACATCCACAACAATGACAGGGACCGATCAATGTGCCCACTAAGAACCGTATACAGAACGGGGACTAATGAAATACTGAACAGTAACCATACCGGCCCAATCAATGACCTCTGCAAACAAACACACACACAGTAATTGGAAGAACCTAATTCAACAAACATCAAAGTAGAATGCCAGCGTTACTCACTTCAATACTATTTATGTATGTATTTCTAAAGCCATTTAAAATAAAGTTTGCCTTAAAATTAGCTCAGCCCGGCTTTAACAAGGTTACACAAGTAAATAAAACCTGAAATAATAGATTAAAAAAAAAGGGGACCTTCATAAATGCAATCCAAACAAATATGACCACTTGATTATTGGTAACCAATAGCAACCAGTCAGCTACCCACTTCACATAAAGTGCAGACAGCGCATTACAGACCAAAGTGATGATTTCTGGTATTGGCAATGATCATTTGTCATCCACTTTATACGTTTTGTGCTTAAAATCTGTAGCTTCAGGTGGGAGGGGCCTATCTCTCTGATGCTGTCCTGAAAAGGTGAGTAGAGAAAATGTACTTTATTTGTGTATCTCTAAATTCATGCCAACGGTCCTATCTTCTGAAGGGTGGCTACTTTTGTAAATTAGTAAACTACACAAGTGATTTTAGTCCATCCTGGGGGCAAGCTTGGAGCGGTGGCTACTTTACAAAACACACAGGGACCAAGGGGAAGAAAAGTAGCCACCTCCCATCTACAGGATCTACAAATAAGATACATTTTTTGTTAAAAAATATATTCAAGTACCTTATTAAAAAGGAGAATTATGAGGCGAGTGATTTTCACTCACCCTCATAACCTGAGCCGACCTGTGACAATGAAACTGTCACAGGTCGGCTCAGTAAATCGATAAGTGAGCGAACACATACCGTCGCTCACTCACTTCTCGATCCGTGAAGAAAGCCGTGACTCTCACTCACGGCGCCCTGCAGGGATTCCCCTCCCTCCCCGCTCCGATCCTCCAACGCTGACTGGCAGAACGGACGGGGGAGGGGGCAGGTACAGCTGACAAACTGTCCCTTCACACCATAGCATTGCACTAACTGCATGTTATAGTACATTTAGTGCATTTCCATTCATTTAAAAATGTCACCCCAATGCACCTCCCGGAAGCCATGTGTCCGCAGTTGTAGTGCATGTACTGCACTGCAAAGCATGGCCGCTAGGAGACGTGTTGAGGTGCATTGAACAAGTGGGGTGGGAATGGGCCCTTGAAGTAAGCGGCATATCCATGCACAATGACATCAGTGACCCTGACAAAGCCTAGAACACAAAAGCAGAATTCCCTGCAAAGAGGTAACTAAAATTCTAAGCAGGAAACCCAAGTCCTAACTCCTAATAAACAAGACTGAAGCCAAGCCTTTACATTTTGGATAAAGTAAGGGAGGGTTAAAAACAGGGCTTGAAAAATGTTAAGGTATCTCACCAGTCAGTCAAAAATGTCACCAGTCAGCATGACCGGACTAAAGCCTTGCAATTTATGTTAACATTTTTGGGGGACCGATAGAGCTTTCTTTTGGAGGTATATTATTACCACTGGGGGGGTTATTTACTATATAATGAAAAAAAGTACCGTAAATTTCGAATAAAAAAAACGTTTTCCTTACGTTATGTTATAAAACATCTATTCTTACCCATATTTTTGGTAAAACATAAATGTCGGGGTCACGTCGGGTTAATAGACACCAAACATGCCAAGCCTTAAAATTGCGTGCGCCCACAAAAACCGCAAAAAAAAGACCAGTGAAAATTGGTCATAGGCGACGCTTAAAATGCTTTTATCACTCATCAGTTTAGTGTTATCAGTAATTAATGGCCCTAAAATGATTGCTCACACTCCGACGTTCGCGGTTATACGTAACGTGCGGCACAATCGTTTTCGCACGTAGGCGCACCTGACGCATATCTGCATGTGT